AGTCAGTCAGTCGTCATTTGCTGACTTTGACATGCCCTCCACAGAAACTACTGACTTACAGTGTCCAACCTAAAGATCATCAAATTGCAGGAGGTAGTTTTTTATTTTAATTGGCTTGGTGTGTGGGGGGACTTTTTTTTTTTTTAAACAATAATTAAGATGAGATTCCCCAAATATAGGAGCATGTGGCTTTGGGGGAGGCACTGTATCCCTCTCCCCTACCCCCTCTTGGGCGTTTAAATGTTATTTTTGAGGCAATAAAATTTAACCCTGTGTGATTGTGGTACTGAACATGTTGAGACAAATGCCCTGGAGAGGAGCCTGTGAAAGTCTGCTGAGCCCTTGTACGTGGGATGGGTGGAAGATTTAGGTAATGGTATGATTTCTAGACTTCTGGCTGTATTTTATGCATGCGTTGGATGCCAGCTGAGCAGGCTCTGCTTGTAGGAAGCTGGTCCGGTCTGTTTCTCTATCAAGAGAAGTAGGGTGCTGGAATCAGAGCTTGTGGCCAGATGAGTGTTTTCCAGGAACAAGTCATTTGGTCTCAAGTACCCTGGCACATGAAATCACCGGAAGGACATGCATATTCCCAGGATGTCCTGGACACATGGCTGTTCAGCGCGCTTCCCAAAGCTTGCATCTTCACTGAGGAGCTGGAGAAATGTGTGTCGTGAAAATCACGTGTGTAAGGAAGAGCTAGCGATAGCCCTGTAGCTTAGGAGAAGGATTCAGGGCAGGTCCTTGGCTGGTGGCAGGGACAGTCCAATGAAGATTATTCTAGCCGAGGGCTGATCTCTGGCTTTTTATCTCTGAAATCCCCTTCTCCAGACTGGGCCCATGACAATCGCTTACGCAAACCACGCAAGAAATCGCCCATGGTTTGATGAAGATCACCCCAGTGCTATGCATCTCAGTCAATATGTAGGGCTCTCCATGTATGGCAGCTTGTGTCAGTTGGTTTGGGATATGCAGAAGAGGAGATGTCTGAGGTTTCTTTCACAGGCTAAGAACGGAGAAGTGGAAAATCAGAGTGCTGCTAATTCTGTGGCCTGGGAAAGATATGGTCTCCCACCCTTTCAGCAGCTGGATATATTCTTAGCATGGGTTGAGAAACACTATTCTCTTTCTCTGTTTGTTCCAATGGAAAGCCTCCTTTTTTAGACAGAGTTTAGAAAACAGAAGTCTCCTCTTCAAAGCAGTGGTTGGTGCAAGTTTTCTGTGCAGAGAGGACTGTTGTCAGAGATCCAGTTTTCTGCAGGAAACCAGTTCTTACGGAGATTTCCCGATCGATCTGAGTTTGTCCTAGAGTTGACACATGCCAGCTGAGTGTGCTTGTCTTTTTGACTCGCTGTCCACAACTGTAAAATGGAGTTGGACTTCCTCCTGATGTGTTGAGGCTTACAAGAGGAGGAGGTTGTTCTGCAGAGCAGAATGAATCCTTTCTTTACAGGATTTGCTGTAGCCGCTCCCTGTTGGTCGCGTGGTCTGTGGCCACTCTGCTTAAGCAAACTCGGATCCTGATACTCTCCTTGCTTCTGCGGCTGCTTGTCTCCATGCTGCTCCCCTTGACTTGCAGTTGGGCTGGGGAGCACCGTCTGGTGCTCTCCACACACTGCGTTCACACGTTTTTCGTTAGCTCTGTCATGACTTAATCTGATCATCATTCAGTGGTGATGGCTAAATGGCACAGAGTGTGCTCAGCGCTAATGACTTGCAGGAGATGTATTAAAAGGTTACATCCTGTTGGTAAATGTCATGCCCTGTGCAGTTCAATTAGGGTTGATATTTATGTGACTGTGCCCCCTCCCCATGCTGAGTGGATACTGCTTTTGGAAGCCATCAGGAGTTGTCCCTCCTCCTGTGGAAATCCAAACAATTTGGTGGCAGCAGGATCTAGCCCCCATTTCTGGGAAATTTTATTAGCTTCTTCCCTGCCCTTTTCCTGCAGATGGCTTCCACTGCTGCCTCTTGCGTCGCAGCTGTTACAACAAATACATTTGATTTTAAACAACGTGGAACTTTTGAAGCAGCAGCTTTTGCTTTAGCGCAAGAACAAAGTGTGACCCTGTGGCCTGGTGGGTAGTGCACCCAGGAGGGTGGGGAGGAGTCTGGTCCTAGCTCAGAGAACTGATTCTGGTGCCAGCCTTGCGTCTGTTTGATGTAAAATGCAGGAAAAGGAGTAGGGATCCCCCATATGTGCTTCCCTTTGGCCCGTGACTCCTGTGCAAGTGGAAGGATGGAGGAGATGGTTGAAGGTGTGATCGTGCCCGTGGAGGGCCAGCCCTGTAACAGCCAGTCAGAGACAGCTCCTGCTGTCTTTGATGTTGGTCTCAGCCAATGTATTACTTTTCATTAAGAAAAGCAGCGTTATCTTCTAGTGCATTAGTGGCATCCAGCTTTTCTCTCCCTTAAAGCTGACATTTGAGTGATATGAAGATATGTAGCGATTTCCGAAGCATTACCTTTAAAGGCAAAAGCAGGAAGCTCAGCCCTTGTCCATCCTGCAGGGCAGCAGTTGGCTGGCTCCCCAGCACGTAGGTACCAGCCAACCGTTTGGTACAGGCAGCTCTGAAAGCAGCCGTGCGTTGCTGCTGTCTGAGGGAAGTAGAAGAGAGCTGGGTGTATAGTGGGGGAGCAGAAGATTGCCAGAAGACCTATGTTATGCATGGCCACTAAAGCTCTCACCCTGTTGGTTCTGATTATGGAGAAATTGCCAGTTACTGGGCCAGGCTGTGCAACCGGAGACGTCTGTGGGGCTTTGATGCCGTGAGCAGAATTCGGTCAATTATGTGTTACTCAGTATAGGTGCTTGGCAGTAGTCTAACCTCAGCCCTGGAGCTCCTGGTTATCCATAGCCCAGATTTCACAGAGAATTTGCATGCCCCAAGACTTGCTTTGAATCACTTGAATTTCTTTTTTTTTTTTTTTTTTCCAAATTCACCGAAGCTTTGGGCAAGGTGTGTGCGTTCCAGTGCTGTTTCCCATGACTAGGAGGGTAGCTAGCGTTTGTCTGTGCTCGCTTGGTGTGCTTGCTAAAAATGAGTGGAGAACAGTAGAGGGATTTGTCTCCTGCGAAGATGACTTCTATTTCAGCCGAGTTCGTCTCTGACTATGGGCTGTCAAACCTCAGAAATTCCTAGCTGCCTATCTGCTTTTTACTTATTTATTTTTTTTAAGAAATAGAAGAGAAAAAGAACCATAGCCCCCTTTTAGTGGAGAACCAGAAATATGCATAGGAGCAGGACTCCTGGTGTACAGTAGATGAGGGTGTGTGCCTGGATATCAGTGCAAGCTTGGAGAGAAGCACTATTTTGGCGCTGGACAGCAAGCACTTAAAAGCTCTGTCACAGGCACATTAAAACATACAGTTACCACTAAACAGACCTCCCTTTGGTCATTTGTTGTATTATGTCTGACTGGGAATGTAATTTCCTTAAGAGGAGGACTGTTTTTCTCGGTTACATTTAAGACCCATGTAATTGTAGTAATAATTTCAAAGATACTGCCCATTTTGTAGTGCCCAAGTGGGGTCCTGACAGAATGAGCCTATGAAGATGTTAGCGTTGGCTTGGATTTATACCCGAGCTGGACTGCAGAGATTACTTCTTAATGTTGTATGAGACAAGATGATGCCAGTGCAAGTCTGCGAGGAGACAGCTCCACAACATGACAACAGAGAAGAAAATGGTGTTAGTTCAGGTCCGCTGAGAGACTGCTGCAGTGTGGGGAAGAAATAATGTGATGTCAGTGTTAACCTGTGGAGATGCTGCTACTGTGTCCAGACAAAGCAATGTCAGTGCAGCTCTTTGGAGACTGGATTAAACAGTGACATCTGACACAAGGCTGCTCCAGACAGTGCAGATAACTGCAGCAGGACAGCTAGCTGCCTTCCCAGCTCCCTCCTCTCCCATGTGAACGCACACACGTTCTTTACTCTATGCTGGCCTGAGAAATGCCCCTGAACAGAGGCGTTATGCAGCCCTCTGCCAAGTGTCGGAGCCTGCTGATACCAGCTCGGGGTGTGAGGGAATGGCGACAAAAAGTTTGGTGCAATCTCCTCTTTACGGCTACCCGCCTGCTCCCTCCTGTGGGACAAGCCCAAGGATGGGCCCTCTCTGTTTGAGAGGGGCTGGTGCTGGTGGGCTCGGAGCGGCGCTGGGCTCCGCTTTGATGCTCTGTCCCTGCCCTGTCCCCAGCGCAGGAACACCAGCTGTACTTGGCAGCAGGATTCCTGTTGCTCCACGCTCAGTATTTACATCGATTGGTTTGCACAGGGTGTCGTGCAGCTCTGTGCTTGTTTGCATTTCTATCTGTGGTGCCTGATGATGATTAACCCTCGTGAGCGCTCCTCTACTCTACTCTGTCTGAGCAATGGTTGCTTTGAAAAGCAGCCAGGGGACCCAGCTCTGGGTCAAAGCACAAGGCTCATCCTGTGAATAAGCATGCAGCAGCTGCCGTGTGCCGCTGCTCCTCCTCCGTGTTTGCCACAGCCTCACTGGGAAGGAGTTGAGGTTGTCCTGGCTGAGGGCAGCTGGCTGGAGCCTGCGGGCTCCGCGCAGGAGCGACCGACAAGCCGTGCTTCCAAACCAACCCAGTCCCTGCGGATTTTGGCAGACTGCAAATTTTCTCCTGGCAAAGGAGTGGCTTTTAAGGATGCATACAAGCTAAGGAGGTTTGAAGAAAGCACTACAGCCTGTTCCGAAGCCCCCTTTTCCCTCCCAGTTTACAAGGCCGGAGGGGAGGGCAGGATAATCCTATCTCTAAAGGTGCTTTGACCAAAGTCCCCGGCGGCTGTGGTATGCTGTGTTGAGTAGCCTGTTGCAGTATTTTTGGAGAGTTTCCTGGGTGGTGGTGCTCATCCCAGGAGGCACTCCCGCGCTGGAGCTGGCGTGCTGGGAGGAGGACCTGCCTGCCAAGCCCAGCCCTGGGGAGGGGACGAGTGTGGCTGGGAGCAGAGCATGCTGGGGATGGTTTATAAATCTTGAACTAGCTGCCTCCAGCACAGCTGGCCAGAGGGGAGGGAGTTTAGAAACCCAGAGAGATGGTAAGGACATAAAGGGCGACAGTTGAAATATCTATAAATATAAATAGGTTAGTCTTCTACCTCCAGCTGCTGGACAGATGTGCAAGAAAATTAGTGATGGCGAGGGATGTAGGGAGAAGCGCAGAAGGGAGGCGGGGTGCCTAAATATGAAGAAATTCTTTGCAGGGATGACTTGAAGCTAGACCTCTGTCTGGGGGTGAAACCAGGGTAACTGCGGAGGAGGCAGAAATGCAGGGGTGAGGAATTTCAGTAGCAAAGAAAAGGGGAAGCAGGGAAGGCAGAAGGAAGTGGTGGTGAGGGGAGTGCAGTGTGTGGGATGGCAGCTGGCTGGCAACCAGAGCAGGCAGGGACAGGCAGAGCGCTTGCCATTTATGAGCAGGCGGGTATTGGCCTTGGCCTTTGCTGCCCCATCAGCTCTGCAGGGCTTGGTCAAACCCCATCAGAGGGAAGCTGCTGCTCTGGGGAGTCATCCCACCCCTTCATCCCGGCAGCAGGGTTGGCTTTTGTCTGTGGCTGGAGGTCCTGGTTGGCGTGCCGATTCCTGCGCGTTTAGTTGGTGCTTGCTACAGAACAGGTATATATGGAGATGTCAGCTTGGGGAGTGAAGGAAAGGTAAGGCAGGGTAGCAAAGAGCTGGCGTTCAGGACTGGAAGTTGTCCCAGGTGATGGGGTACACCTGGGTGTTTCCCTGACCACAGCAGATCACTGCAGGTTTTGTATTTCCTCCGCTTTGCAGATCGTCTCTGCTTTTCCGGGGCAGGGACTGTCTTTTAGGTTGCAAGTAATGTGTTCATAGCTTGCCTAGCACAAGCTGGTGTCTGGACCTCTCTGTAGTATGAAGAGTGAATCGTAGTAACAGTGGCGAAGTTCAGCCAATGCCCAAAGCTGGTAGGATGCAAGATGTTGTGGCTCTTAAGAACTTCTACCTCTTAAAGGAGGGAAACATTAGAAGGTCTGCTGGGAAATGACCGTGATTTGCATTGTGCAAACTTTTATATTGTTGCCTTATAAAACTTGCACAAAATATATGCAAAGTTCAAAATAACAGATGGCCTAGAATTTCTCTTTCTTCTAGAATACAAGAGACCCTGAAGTTTGTTATTTTGACCTTTGCAAAATTTACATAAGGCAGTGACGAATTTTCTTGGGTGGGATAAATCAGCCGGAAGGAAAGAGGTCAATGAAAGAGTTTGTTGGCAATGAAAAAGACGTGGGGAGCTTTAGACTGCTGGTAATAGTTAACCCAAACTATAGCCAAAGAGTGTCCATTCCTTGAGAATATGCTAACATAAGTCCTGGTGATTCATTGTGTTTGATCCATCCAGCCGGTGGTAGACGGGAACGGCTCCAGAAAGTGAGGACACAGTATATGGACTGGGCAGTGTGAGGGAGGAGCACGCAGCACAGCCACGTCTACCATGAGGCTTGAGCTGAATTTTATGTTGTTGTTAATGAGGAAAAAAAGCAAGGATTGAGATCCAGCTGCTTGATAGATGGATTGATGTTTTAGGCAAAATGGGTTTGGATTAATGGAAAGTGATTCAGCTCTGAGAGAGGTTTTATTCTCCCTTTTAAAATCTCATGGGGAACTTCACGGTTCACTTCTTGGTGACCAAGGGGACAACCACATGAGTACAAGCTGAACTCAGTCTTACAAGACGTGTGTTCAGCTCAGACTCAGTACGGGACCTTGGCTGAGTCACTTAGACCAAGATATGCAAAGCTTCCAACCTGATTTTTATAGGTATCTAAGCGAGAGCTGGAAGTGTCGTGGATCTTGTTGTCAGATCTGAAACTCGTGAGTTAGTCCCATGTTGGACCGCTCGTGTGCTTAGGGTTAAGCATGTTTATCTACTAATTGAAGTCCTATATTCTTTTTTTCCCAACTGAGTAAGTGGAAATAATACTCTTCTCCCAAGCTCGGAGAAGTTTGAGGCACCTGTAAGAGTTGCTCTGATGGCTTGGGACCTCTCAGAAAAAAATATAGGGGAATTTGCCATCCACCCCTTGTAGATAGTGTCTTTGCTCATTAATCAGTTACAAGATATTTACCTGCTCCACAGTGAATTTTGGCTCTCGCAGCCTCTATAATGACAAGCATCCACCCAGTAAAGAAGCTCAGGACCTGTCCTAAAGTGACTGCAGTGTGGGATTTTTCTTCAGGTCTCGTGAACAAATATGCAGAGAGCGTAGGAAGTCGAGGAGGGGATTTGTAGATGACCGATGTCCATATACTGGTAATCACAGACCTCCAAGGCTGTATCGTGCAAGTCCGTCTGTTGACAGCTGTTTGCTCCTCTACAGATAGAGGCAGCTGCTCCACAGCAGGGGCAGCTGAGTGGGAAGCATGTTTGTTCCTGCACCACCATAGCATATAGCCACTTACATATATTTCAGCTCAGATCAGGATAGGTTTTCTGTTGCAGAGAGCATGGCCTGTAAGTGCTCCAGTCATTCCTG